TGTATGCCATTCTTATGGTACTGATGGACTTCACAGAACCCCTCAATATAGTCACTGACTCTCAATATACAGAGAGAGTTGTTTTACATATTGAAACTGCTGAATTTATTCCTGATAATACAGAATTAACTTCATTATTCATACAATTGCAGGAAATCATCAGAAAGAGGGAACATCCTATATATATAACACATATCAAATCCCATACAGGTCTGCCAGGACCTCTAGCACAAGGTAATGATGAGATTGATCAGTTACTAATAGGTAATGTGCTAGAAGCTTTAGAATTTCATAAGAAATACCATGTAAATAGCAAAGGTTTGAAGAAGGATTTCTCCATCACTTGGCAACAGGTTAAGGATATTGTGAAAAAATGTCCTACTTGTTCCATCTATAACCAAACTCCATTACCTGCAGGGAGCAATCCAAAAGGTATACAAAGAAATGAAATTTGGCAGATTGATGTGTTTCATTTTGCAGAATTTGGAAGATTAAAGTATGTACATCATACCATTGACACCTATTTAGGATTTCAATGGGCAACTCCTATGAGTTCTGAAAAGGTTGATTCTGTGATTACACATCTATTAGAAGTTATGGCCATCATGGGAATACCTGTACAAATTAAGGCAGACAATGCCCTAGCATATGTCTCCAATAAAATGAGACATTTCTTTGCTTATTACAATATAAAGCATGTTACAGGTATACCACACAATCCCACAGGCCAAGCAGTCATAGAAAGATCCAACTGAACTTTAAAGAATATGCTAAATAAACAGCAACAGGTAACAATGACTCCTAGAAATAGATTGCATAGTGCTTTATTAACCTTGAATTTTCTCAATGCTGATGAGAAAGGAACAACAGCTGTGGAGAGACATTGGACGACAGACAAAACTCCTGAGTTAAACCAACTGGTTTATTTCAAGGATGTTCTGACCTCAGAATGGAAACCTGGATATGTTCTACGTTGGGGAAGGGGTTTTGCTTTTGTTTCTGCAGGAGAAGAAAAGCTATGGATACCAACAAAATTAATAAAAATTCGATTTGAACAGGAAAAACCCCTTGATGAGGAGAAGTAAAAGATCATCCACCAATGTGACATCTCTACAAGTTGTAAGAAAAATTTAATAATCAAAGGTTGGGGTAGGGTTCTGTTTTTGTCTTTCCAGGATAATGGAAATACCCATCTTCCAGAAATTATAAGGCCTTGGATATCCGGATGTTTACAGCAGAAAGAAAGAATCTATTGGTACCAATCTACACAGGGTAAAATCTCACTGTCTAACATCTATATCCCTATCAATCTAAAAAAGTTGTGATTCCAATTCAACTATAAGCCAAGCTGGCTTTGGAGATGGAATTGGCTCACTCCTTCTCTAAACCCAAGCATATTGCTAAAAGAAAAGGTTGAGAGATTCTTCAGTCCCATATCAGAAGAGCCCTCTGGTGTGGGACAGAAGGAAACCAATAAAAAGGGACCATTGTCTTCAAGATTCTAATTCTCTCCATGCTTACTCTTGATTTCTCAGAATCCTTTCTTACATGTTATGTCCTCTTTAAATCCAAAATTTCCATTTTGATAACAAATAAATTTTTCCAATAGCAATCTCTAAAGTCTCCAGAAGGAAGATGGGGCCCCAACAACAACAACTCTACCCAATCCAGAATGATACCATGGTAATCATCATCATACTACATTTCTTGCCAGAATTTCAGACAATCTTACCCATTACTCTAAGACTTGCTGCAGAACCTACAGTTAGTCTAACTGAGATTTAACTATCTGAGTTTTCACACAGTACCCAACAGAGATACCATCACATCCTAAACAGCAGGAAGCAATTCTAAGAAAACGACACCCCTTCTCCCTTAGGTTTCATAATTCTCAGGGTTATGGATGATGGTTATAGGGTTGGGGGGTGGAAGAAAATATTAGACTCAGTATTCTCCTAAAAAAAAAAGGGAGAAAAGAAGAAATGGAATGGATAGGTATAAGATATTATGGTAGATTACTGTATATACTAGTAAACAAATTTAGTAAAATAGCAGCCTTAGATAATTTGCACTGTTATGGATTCTTATACGTTGATACAAATGTAAACTATTTTTATATTCCTGTTTAAGATAATTTGTATATTGATACAAATAGAGAATTATATTTGTTATAATGTACATGTATTTCTACTCTTATTTGAAATATTTGTATATTGATGCAAATGTAGATTTATATCTGTCATACTTCATGTTCTAGGATATTCGGTATATTGATATATATTTAAGATTATTGTCATATTGCATATCGCACTATATATTCCTACCTCTGTTATAAATATCTTGTATATTGTCACAATTTTGAAGTCATCGTTCTTTACCATACATTTGCTTATAGACTGTTTACCTTGTTTACATGAAGCCTTAGTCCTTAGGTTATTTCGGTAGATAAGACTTATAGATTTATAGTCACCTATGCTTGTCATCTCTATAGTTACGTTAGTTAGGTTATCCAGACTTACAGATACATAGGTCAGATGGACAGGTAATCTTCAAACACTTCATAGACCTAGAGAATATGGCATTTAAATAACTTAGAATTCTGTTGACATGAGACACAATTGCTCCTGGAAGCATCAATTTGATCCCGAGAGAATGTTGGGCTTCTAAGACATTTCCATTTGGAAGTTGGTCTTCTTGGCACAAAATGGCCTACTGGGCAAAGAACTGCCCTTGCCTCGACTGCTGACAGTACGAATGCAATGCTGTCCTTTCTGGACAAGCGGGACACAAGGAAAGCGACCACTGTACTCTGCCAAGACAGGGTAAGATGGTCTTTCAGAATTCCTGCTTCTGAAAATGGTCTGTCAGATACTCTAGGCCTGTAGCCAATTTGAATGCACCAACAATGCTGAGAAACATTAGGTGACTGTCCAGGCTGCCAGCTGTCTTGGTCTACTCTTGCAAGATTCCCAGAAGTTGCTTGCATCCATCTACCATTTCTCAGGTACCATTATATTCCTTCTCAGGTCAGTATATATATACACACACACATTATCTTAGATAGAACATATTAAGTATTAGATTTAGGTTCTTTAGGATAGGACACCTTTTGGAATGATCTTTGTAACATGCCATTTACCTATGCTCTATACTTCTCTGGATTTTAGTATGTGTTTCTTGCTTGATATTGTTCGCATTAGTTGTAGTTCCATCTTATCTAGGTCATTATTCCTCATTATTCCTGGACAATATTTGATAACCATTCCTTTGTATATAGTCTTGTATTAGGTTAGAACCTTCTTATTTAGACAAAAAGGGGGAGATGTAGTGGGTAGCCATTCCAGCCTTAATCTGGAAGTTCCACCCCCCATTGAGGCTTCAGCAACTGTCACGCCTACAAGGCAGGGCCAAAGGAGGACCCTGGAGACCCGAGATCGGGATGGGCCAGCTCGCTCTCTGGTCCTGGACCCTGGAAGGTGGAGGTTGACCGAGCAGAGCTCCAGAGAACACTGCTAGACTGTGATACACCTTCCCCAGACCCCACGACCTACCTATCCCTTCATTTGTAAGTTACCCATTAAATAAGTCTTCCTTTTAACTACGTGGAGTGGCCTTAATAATTTCACCAATAATCTGTACTCCTGCTTGAGACCTAACACAGCAGGCACTCCATTGTGTCTGTGGCTGAGTAAACTACAGGAAGATGGAATAGAAACATGATCACATGACTCAGGAAGTTTCCATGAGGTTCAGACAGTGTTGTGATCTAATACACAGGGAACTGAGTACACTCATTTATATTTATAATCACATACACATTCTTGTACTGGTCTTCAGAAATTACAGTGGATATGTAAGTAAGTCAGACTATTTCAAATGACTACAGAGTCTATCTCCTCCAGCATTCTAAGGCTAGACCAAACGCCTGCCTGCCTGATGACTCACAAGACTTCAGTCATTGCTAGTAGTAGTTAAGACTGATGAAGTCATCTGTGCTTTTCACTACTGCAGGAAACATTGTGAATGAACTGAGTGTACTCCGGTGTACACAGCAGCAGTTTACAGGACCCAACACCCTGCCACATTTTAAAGAGACAAGCAATTTATGTAAACTAGTATGGAAAGAAGACATACTGTTTGGTAAAGGATAAACTATGTAAACAATACATTTATTAGCTACAAAGTCAAAGCCTATACTTTCTAAATGTTGGAACACGAATATTCCTAAATAACTCATGAAAGGCCTGGGCACTTTGAGCCGGCTGACAATGGAGGCATGTGCGTGGAGGGAGAGAGATGGCGTTGGCTTTTACTGGTGTTGCCTAAACATTTCCTATGGATGGCCGGGCGGTGGTGGCGCACGCCTTTAATCCCAGCACTCGGGAGGCAGAGGCAGGCGGATCTCTGTGAGTTCGAGGCCAGCCTGGTCTCCAAAGCAAGTTCCAGGAAAGGCGCAAAGCTACACAGAGAAACCCTGTCTCAAAAAACAACAACAACAAAAAAAACATTTCCTATGGATGAAATGCGGAAAAAGACAGAAGCAAGAATGTAACCAGTCGAGAGCAGCCAGTAAGCCTTCCTTAAATACTGAAGGTGGAGGATGGAGCTTAGTTTTACACAAACAAGAGCTCGGTCTTTGCTCAGCCTTCAGGAGCACACAGGTATTCTTTACAAAGTGAGTGGGGTAGTTTCTGACCGAGAAGACATGCCTAAAGCACTATTATCTGCCAGGAGATAAGAGACTTACCAAAAAGGAACTACTCACGAAATTAGAACGAGTGAGAAAAGATACACTTCCTAGTTACAAATGACAGTGATGGGGAACTAGTAATTAGACAAGACTCTTATGACATATGGTCTTTGAATAGTCTGTTAAATAAATGAAGAAGTGTCTTTTTTATCAGTTTTATTTTGTATCATAATTGATTTGATGGATAAATATCACATAATTTCTAATGTCTGGGGTCACACGCACCAGTACCTGACTATATATTACTGACCAGCTGCCGAGCTGCTTCTTGCCTCCCAGAACTCTTCTGATTGTGACCGCTCCTCTCCTACAGACTCCTTCAATTCCTCTTGGTCAGTCTGCCAAGAAGGCTCCGCCTCTTCCATGGGCTTCTTCTCTTGGGATGATGTTCTCTGTGTGGAGTCTCTCTCTGAAAATGGCTTCTGGACCTGGGACATGGTTGGCTCCTGTAATTCTAAACTCACCGAGGGATCTGTCGCTGAGTCAGCACCACCAAACACATCATTCGACCTCGCAGAGGGCTGTATGCCTTCCTTACGCTCGTAATTGTTTAGCCTTCTTTCCACCACTTCACGGATCAACACTGAAAAGTTCAGAGGTCATCAGTTTCCATACTTTCCTTATAGACAACTAGAAAGCCTTGCTTAGGCCTTTGCCACTTCCCATTAACCTTCATAAATTTAGCACAACAACTCTCAATCAATGCATGAACAGGTTACGTCCTTTGCTTCTTTGGATAGCAAGTACAAAGCAACAACAGAAGGTATTACATGAGGAAGTGATAGGAAACCCAGGACAACAGAGGTGGAGCCTGCACCCTTGTTAAGACAACTGATAAGCCAAGTGTAAGAACCACCACCACCACGAATGTTCCTTCCTCACTTCCTCTTCCCCACCAACAAGTTTAGAAACAGCTTTTATATCAAATAACTTACTGTCAAGCATGGTTCTTCCCACCATGCTGTGTTCCATGGTTTTTTCAACTTCATTCATCAGCCATGGAAGGAATCCTACCTCAATATCTGCAATAAAGAATTTCATTAAGCAATTTCTGCAGATCACTAGACAGTATGTGCTTCCCCAATGTAGTGCTGCTCAGCAGCACTGGCTTCTCAACATAAAACAGTACACAGACTCCTCACACAGCATAACTTTGGCTGTATTCGCTATACATGCTCAGCTCAGCTTCCCTCTACTGCAGAAGCGGTGTTAGCAAATCATGAGGTTTCCACAGAGTCAAAATACAGCTGTACCCATAGGCATAATCTGAGATGGGCAGAGAGAAGACGCTGATCTGGGAAAACCTTACTCAAGTGGGACACAAGCCTGGGCATGAGCATTGTTGGGAAAGAGAATTCCCTTGAGGCCAAATCCAATGGAAATGGACCAGCTGAGAGGGTAAATGAGAAGGGGCATCTAGAAAGCGCTGCGGATGAGGTGGAGACTAGGCGCTTCTGTTAGCAGACACTCGCTCCAACTTCAGTGGGCGATCCACTGTGCGAGACTTCAACAAGACTGCCCGTTAAATCTACACTCAAAGTTTCAAGGAGGTTTTTAGGGCATCTATTTAATAGGATGATAATAGAGAGTGAGAGAATACAGTACTTGCTATTATACATAACATATCTCAGGTAAGATTTTTATTTTCAAGCTTTAAACTATGTAACAGACAAAAAACCAAAACAAATATTACTTTTCTCTGTGACTAATAGCAAGAGGTCAACTCTTACGGTTTGAATCTTAACTATTTCCCCAAAGTTCATGGTTCCCAGGTGATGGTATGTTGGGAGGTGGGGCCTAGTTGAGGAAGTACATCTTCGGGAAGTGTGTGCTCTTGAAGGGCATATTAGGACCATGTCCCTTTTCTTTACTGTAACAGCTTTGATTTCCCACAAAGGCCCAGAAACAATGGAGTCAAATGTCTATGTATGGATCTGTATTGAAATTCCTGAACCCTGGATGAAATCAATCTTTCATCCCTTTAAGGGGATCACCCCAGGTGTCTTGTCACAGTGACAGATGACTGACACACTACCTAGAATGAAAGGCAGGATGGGAGCAGAACAATGGAGCTGTAGTTCCATGTTAACCTGAGACCTAAATACACCTGAACTGGCTATTCTCAGTTGTCAACTGGATTACATCTGGGATTAATTAAAGCAGAAGCAGCTGGGAACATTTGTGAGGGCTCTTTCCTTGATTGGATTATTTGAGGTGAAAGACTCACCTAAAACCTAGTCACACTTCCTGGTGGCAACCTATACAAAGGACATGGAAGGAGGAAGCTTTGGCTTTTTGTCTGCTCGCCCTCACGCTCACTGGCAAGTTCATCCCATCCCTGGTATTAGAGCCTTCTTCAGGATTCCAGTGTATACTGAAGACCAGCTGAGACATCTAGCCTCATGGACCAAATTACTTATTGGATAAGCCACTCTGACAAATACCATTTTTATATACATAGATTCAGTCTATGGATCAGTTCTGTTTCTCTAGAGAACCCTGACTAATACATATTTTGGTACCAGGAGTGAGGCTACATCTTCTACATCTTCTGCTAAGGGTGCAGAGACTTCCTTGGAGGAGATTCAGTTCTCAGCCTCGGTGGGGTTCTCCCACACATCTCCATCCCAAGGTACAGGATGTCGTTCTTTACCAATTAATGCCCGGGTTTCAGCCACTGTCACCCTGAAGCTGGCACTCAAATTTTTTGTTGAATTCGGCCAATGTTCTAATGAGGGCTTCAGTTTGATTTTCTGCAACTTGAGCTCCGTGGCTGCTGGAGAAAGATTCTCTTCTGCACATACTTAGAAACCTCTAGACTTTTATACGCATCTTCAGCCAGCCAATTTTATCACTGAGTTCACTGTTATCCTTCGCCACCCGAGATGCTAGCAGCTGGTTAATTTTATCATGGAACTCATTGCTTTGCCAATTTATCCAGAGATGCTAGGAGCAACCAACTAGCAATCATTTTTCTTATTTTTCCACAAATTATCAAAGTTTCACATACAGTGTCACTAAATTTCTTGCTTCTTACAATAGGTCAATCAAATGCATTTGTCTAGATAAGTTTGTTAAATAGTTCACATCACAGGTTTCTACTGCTCTCCACACTTCTAAGAGAGGCTTTAGTAACTGTATGTGTTGGCAACCAGAAAAATTTGTTCCAGATACTTTCTTCTTCCTCCTTCCTACTCCCTCCTTCCTCCTCCCCCTCCCCCTCCTCTTTCTTCTTCTTCTTTTTTCAAGACAGGGTTTCCCTGTGTAGCTCTGACTGTCCTGGAACTCAGAGATCCACCTGCCTCTTCCTCCTGAATGCTGGGATTAAAGGCATGTGCGCCACAACTGCCTGGAATGTTCCAGATACTTTTAGAAAAATTCATCCTTATACTTTAGTTGCTCTAGAACCACATTTAGTGCCAAAATATGTGGTAGTCAAGGCTCTCTAGAGAAACAGAACTTATAAAACCAATCTATATATATAAAATTTCATGTACTTTATGATTTAATTCCTAAAAAAATTCATTATTTCAAACAGGAAACTGGAGGTCATAAAGCTAATGAAACTGGGACCTAAACTCATGTTTCTGACATCAAGTCCATTGTTCTTTCTAATATATAATCCTGCTTCTCAATAAAGAGATGCTACTATCCTAAATCAACACCTTTATAATACACTACTTTAAATATTTAAAATTTTCTTTTGATATCTACCTAATGATAGTACATATTTAGAGGGTGTGATACAATAAGTTTCATAATAGTAAATTTTCATCATAATAAATGAACAATATTTAAACAACTATAACTGACTTTTGTTTCAGAAATATAAACATTCTAATTTAAAATAAAAATGGTCATGAGGCAATGCATGGTGGCACATACCTGTATTTCCAGCACCCCTGAGGAGGAGGAGGAAGAGGAGGAAGTAGGAGGATCATGAGTTTGAGGCTGGCCTGGACTACAAAAAAAAAAAAAAACGTTCTGGCAGTGCTTGTACACCTGAAATACATTTGAGAAAGTGAGAATATTCTCAGTGTAACAGTGAATCTAACAAGAGTCCCCACAAACCTCTTTCAACTGGATCATAAAAGTAGCCACTGTTCCTGAGACTGTCAAAGACAGACGGGAGAAGGTCAGCCAGATACCGCTGCGCAAACGCACGAGCCGAGATCTTCTGTGACGTCTCATTGTGCTTATGTACAATTTCCCACTGCTGCTTCTTACGGCGTTCCTGCCAAGAGAAAGATGTCATTGCACGAGGATATCTGAGTATTCTGTCCTCTCAAGCACTGGAACTAGTGAGGCTAAGTATGTGGAGGAGTCTACAGCTGCAGAAAGTGGTCAGAAGGTGTCTGTCAAGGACTCACCGCGATGAGCAATTAGTGGGCATTGAGTTTATGAAGAAATAAAGGGACCTAAGGTAAAACTCATCTCCTGACCCATTTTCCTAATTTCTATGCTTAACTGTATGCATGCTATTAAAAAGATAATGACAGCTGTATGTATTGGCATATACCTTTAATCCCTGTACTTGGGAGACTGAAGCAGGAGAATGGCGAGTTCAATGCTATCCTGGGTTACACAGGAAGACTTTGTCTAAAACAACTATGATAGAAAATGACATGCATTTTTATTAGTAACATCATAAAGTAGTACTAACATGAGATTTTTATCCTTAGGTATCTTCCATCAAACAACACAGGCCAATGGTCTGACTTGTGTTTAGTATCTCTTTGATTGACAAAGCTGAAATGGCTTTGAAGATCATGAAAGCTTGTTTTGTGTGGTTGTCTCCTGTAGGTCACATAACATCTATCAAGCTAATGAATGATTTTCTATGTGCTTATATAGAAGTGGGGGCTTTAATATATATTTCAAGTAATCTATTTTCAAGGTGTAAAAACATATACAAATCTAGATGACTTATAGAGTTTTTCTCATGACATATTTTTTGGTAAATTATTATTTTAATATAGCTTCTACAGTCAGTGTCTATTTAATATATGCAAGCAAAGGTCTGCACAGGAACATTTCTCACTATGAGTCCTATGTTTATGTAAAAGATTAGTAATTTTGGAAGAAAATATAAAATATAGTTGATTAAGTATTGAGTAGAATTTTCTAAAAACGTACTTTCCTTCACAGTACTTTGGTCCCTTTGGGAGACCATTCTCATTGATTTAAGGATTCTGGCACTACTTCTTGTTTATTCAGTGGATAAGAAAGAGTGACAGCCATTGTCAATACCAGAAAGACCCTTAAGTATGATTAACTAGAGGTTTGTCTAGATGTAGGTTGATACACTTTATTAAATGAGTTATAAAACCTTTCTTATTGAAGAGTCATAAAACATAATTTGGAAACCAGAGCCTGACCACCAAGAAAAGGACTGAGCATTCTCAACTGATTACCCCCATTAGCCCCAGCACCCTACCCCTTTCTTTCCTTTCATCTTTCTGCTACCAGATGATGGCAAATCAAGGCATTTCTTCCTCCAGTGCTCCTTCCAAACTCTTGGTATTTAAGAGCACCATACAGTTTGGACACATGTAATATAGGAACCTAAATTTCACTGGGAGCTTTTGGAAGTTGACTTAGTTACATTAACAGAAGGTGGAATTTACAAAATGTAAGTCAACCATGAGAAATTTATGATCTACAGGAGAGACCTGAGCAACAAACACTATAGGTCTTCTTCACAGGTATTTCAAAGGGTCACTAGCTGCATGATATCACAATATACATGATATATGTAAGCTTGAATGTGATGTATTAAGTAGCCAAAAGGCTACAGAACAGCTTTGGATATCACACATAAAGGGTAGAAGGCCCTGGGTTCATTCCCGAAGAAATAAGAGAGGAGGAAAAGAGCAAGACAGACAGACAGACAGACAGCTCCACCTTTTCTTCTCGGTGCCGTCTCTCCTGCTCTTCCAGCCGCTGTACTTCAGCCAGCTCAATATTCCGGATCTCCTCATATGCATACTGACTGGCCCGCAGGTTGGCCAGCTCCTCCTCCTCCATCACTTCCAGAAGGGCCTGTTCAATCGTCTTCCCCACCAGAACTTGTAACATGGGTTTGACTTCAAGGTCAAAGTCAAAGAGCTGAAACACAAGAGAGAGCAAACAGGATTTGAACTTGGGCCCAATGTGTACAGGAGTGGAGGTGAGTGACAAGAGGAGGTGGCTGTGTCGTCCGTGCCAGGCTCTGCACTACCACTCTGTGTGTTCACTCTCAGAACACCACCCCCCCAGGCACACAGAAGAGCGTCCTGATTACAGGCAAACATCTACTAAGTCAAAATAATGAAAGAAATCTATGTTCATCAATATGAACTCCAATTCTCATTGATTTTAAGATAGAATTCTGAAACTAAAGGGAAATGCCCTTGACTTTCATATTGTCTTTTTTCTGCTAAACATTTATTGACTAAGGACCAAGAAGAATAGTCCCCCTCTGCAGTGATTCTTGTCTAACAGTCAAAACTGTCTATGCAGTGCCTGAACACGAGAACTTTGTCTCCCAGTCTTAATGACAGTTTTTCAAGTTCCTTTATTCTCACTTCTCTACGTCATTGTTCATGTCATCATTACCTCTTGTTCCATAAACAGACATACTCACGCATTCCACATGTAGATGAGAAGGTCATCCAGAATTTTAAACGTATAGCACCTTCATAAAAGGTAGATACTCCACAGTGACTTGTGGAGTCACCAAGAGTGGACTCTTATGTAAAGGGTAGTAGTCTTCCCTATTTGGTACAAATCTTAGGTACATACTAAGTAAGTCCGTAAGCAAAATGGAATGTGTAAAAATGTTTGTAATGATTTTATTTTTTAATCTGCAAGTAGGAACAATAAAAACTGTGTACTTAAAACCATTTCTTGGCACTACAGGATAAAACCACTATAGGTAATAACTCGAAAGAAATCCAAAGAGTGAATTTGATTGTGAAATGGCTCTTGTATCTGGGAAGCTTTACCTGAGTCTAACTGTATGCCATCTTTGAAGGAAGAGGGAAGCCAGAGGGATGTACCGTACCTCTCCTTCTAGTATTTGAGTGGCCACATCTTTGCCAGTTTTGGCAGGAATGAAGAGTGGAGTCGGTGGTCTGTCCAGAAATGCATCTGTCTGGCATTCCATGTCGACTTCCACTATACGGTCAGCAATTTCTTCAAGGTATAATTCTAGGAAGAACATTATGTACAGTGGGCTTACAATTAATTATGGTTTATTTTAGGCATACACACATATTTGAAATGTCAGCTCACCACAAATAGAATTAAGTTACCAGGCATGGTGACGCACACCTGCAACCCCAGCACTTAGGAGGCTGAGGTGGGGAATCTCGATTTAAGGCCTACCTAGGACCCACAGTGAGTCAGAGGTTGCACCTCTAGTAAATACAGGATTTGCTCTAATAAGTGGGCTAAGAGCCTGGGAATTTTAAGAATCATGCACCAAACCAACTTGCTCTTTGGTGTTCCCTCTATGCATAGTTTAGAAACAGACACAAATAAATGTCACATTAATAACGTGATGAGGTGGGGCAATGTGGCAGCACATGAAGAACTTGAACACTGGTGTCGAATGCTGAACACAGGATCCAGCCAAGACACAGCTCTCCACCCTCAGTTTCTCATGTGCAAAAAGGATCAAAGTTACTTGTCACACAGACTCTTTTTAACATGAGAGTCACAGGTAAAGGGCCAGAGGCAGCAGTAAATAAAAAGTAGGGGCTGTATCATTTAATATTTCATTTGGTATGAAGCTCTGTGGCCAGTCTTCTGTGGTTATGACATCATGTGGCATCTACAAAGTTAATGCTTGAGATCTGCACAATCAAGATACAAAAAAAAAAAAATACTAGTAAAACCTCTCACGTTTTGAGTTTACAGTTTTGTGTTGGCCACGTTTAGAGCTTTTTGACACACCTAGGACAAGACTAAGCCTTTAGTTGTCTGAATCACATTGACATTGACTCATTCTAGGCTTGGCTCAAGGGCGGGGGAAGCAGTATACTTTATTCTTTTTGCTTTTTCTTCAGATATTTCATGATGAATCTGCTCATGGTCTTCACTGGATAGGAGAATCTCAAGTCACATCAGTCTATGGAAAACACCAAGTACTGTCAGCTTACCAAGACTCTGCCAACAGGAAATGCCTTGCCCAGCATGGCTTGGTCCTAGAAACTTGGCTAGGGGCATTGAGGGAATGAAGAAAGGACAGACACACAGACACATATACAGAAAAGCTGGGGTCCGGTGGGCTGTGCCCACTCTGATGGAGTGGCAGCTGCTATCACAGCAACCCAGAATCTCAGAACATTTATTATGGATGCATGGGTGGGGGTGGGAAGTGGGTCGCTCATCTCTGTAGAAGGCGTCTGTAGGCAAGCAGTCGCAGGTGGTAAGCATCTGGGAGGAGAAATCTGCAGCTGCTAGATTTGCACACACTGGTCAATCACCTGTAAACACTCATACTTGCACACTGTCAACATTCACACTCAGACCAGTAGAAGGCTTTGCCAATTTCCTGTGGGTCTGAAGCATTAGTCCTTGACACGGTTGTGCCCATGTCAACAATACACATTTACTCAGAACTTCATCTGCTGTTTACACATTCACTCAAGGCTTCCTCTGCTGTTTACAAATTCCCTGAGGGCTTCCTCTATTTACACATTCACTCAGGACTTCCTTTGCTGTTTACACATTCAGTCAGGGCCTCCTAGCTCCCCATAATGAAAGTCTGCCCGGGACAGAAAGTAGAAGAATTAGACAAAGAGAGGAACTTTCCTGTCACTTTTTTTTTCTGGTCTAGATAAACCAAGTAGAGAGAAGCCATGAGGCATAAGCAAGTAAGCAGCACCCTTCATGGCCTCTGCATCAGCTCCTGCCTCCAGGCCCCTGTCCTGTCTGAGTTCTGTCCAGACTTCCTTCAGTGACGGACTGCTTACAGTGGAAGCGTAGGCCAAATAAACCCTTTCCTCCTAACTTGCTTTTGATCATGGTGTTTCATGGTAGCAACAGCAACCGTAACTAAGACAGTCATCTAATACGGGGAAAAGGCTAGGAGAAAATGAAGTAGTCAGGAAACTCTTTTATCACATCAAATCCCTACTTCTAGCACTCCCAACATTATAATAACATGTGTTCTGTGTGTCTGTTTATTGAACAGACTTCCTACCATGTAACTAGGGAGGGACCGACAAGCACAGACGATCCCTAAGTAACATGAAGGAAAGAAAACCTAAGTCCCAGCGGGCCGACATGATGCCAGCGGCATGGCCACGTACCTGTCTGGACGTCCACATGCTTTCTGCCCTCCACGGGCTCAGGCGTTCGTGGTCGGAGCTGCTCTTGGGCTCGTTTTCTGGCAAGAGCCCTCCTCCTGGCCTGCTGCTGTCGCTGAAGCTCTAGAGGGTCAGGCTGACCGGGCTGAGAGGGACAGACAAGGCCGTCAGCTCTCACAGCAGGCAGCCGCTGCCACCGACCATGCATTCCTGGCTAGCACCAGCGCGGGTGGTGGCCAGCGCCTCCTGAAGACCGATGGTGGGGCAGGGCCATGGTGCTGGAGTGTGGTCAGGCCACGGCAAGCTAACAACAAGTCCACACGGGACACATGGGTGTAGGGTCCTAGCTAATTACCCGTTTTCCCTCAATCAGCATGTTTACCGTCAGTTCCTCTGGAGCCTGGTATAATGAACTAAGTTTGTCACAGTAAACTGAAAACCACTAGGGTTTTTAAAAAAAATCTGAATTCAATTGAATATATTTCTCTTAAAATTTTTATCAGTTCAAAGAGAAAGCACCCTGAGTCCAAAGAAAGCTTCTTCTAGTACACAAAATAAGTTGATCAGAAGGCTGAAAACACTGCCTGTTTTAAGTGAAGGTAATTATGAAAAGAAAAATTGAAAGTATTTTGTATGAAATATTTCAATATTTAAAATTTGAAATTTAAAATCTCATGTTTAGTGTATGAGCATGTTCATGTATGTGAGTGCAGGCATGTAGTATGAGTACCACAGCACATGTCTGTGAGTGTGGGCATGTAGTGTGGTACTGCAGCACATGTCTGTGAGTGTGGGATGTAGTATGTGTGCCACAGCACATGTCTGTGAGTGTGGGCATGTAGTGTGTGTTCCACAGGACATGTCTGTGGGTGTGGGATGTAGTATGTGTGCCACAGCACATGTCTGTGAGTGTGGGTATGTAGTGTGTGTGCCACAGCACATGTCTGTGAGTGTGGGATGTAGTGTGTGTGCCAAAGCACATATCTGTGAGTGTGGGCATGTAGTGTGTATGCCACAGCACATGTTTGTGAGTGTGGGATGTAGTATGTGTGCCACAGCACATGTCTGTGAGTGTGGGCAATGTAGTGTGGTACTGCAGCACATGTCTGTGAGTGTGGGATGTAGTGTGTGTGCCACAGCACATGTCTGTGAGTGTGGGATGTAGTGTGTATGCCACAGCACATGTTTGTGAGTGTGGGATGTAGTATGTGTGCCACAGCACATGTCTGTGAGAGTGGGCATGTAGTGTGTGTGCCACAGCACATGTCTGTGAGTGTGGGATGTAGTGTGTGTGCCACAGCACATGTCTGTGAGTGTGGGATGTAGTATGTGTGCCACAGCACATGTCTGTGAGTGTGGGCATGTAGTGTGTGTGCCACAGCACATGTCTGTGAGTGTGAGCATGTAGTCTGTGTACCGCAGCACATGTCTGTGAGTGTGGGCATGTAGTATGTGTGCCACAGCACATATATGGAGGCAGGAATACAACCCCGGGTGTCATCTTCAGAAACGCCATCTACCACCTTGCGACAAGGTTTCTCCCTGGCCTGGAGTCACCAATTAGGGTAGACTGATGGCCAGCAGGCCTCAGGGACCCTCCTGTCTCTCCCTCCCCAGTGCTGGGATTCAAGTGTGTACCACTATACCCAGGTTTTTCAGGTAGGGCCTGGAGTTCAAACTCAGGTCCCCATGCTTGCAAGGCACACACATGACCGAACAGCTCCCAGCCCCCATGTTTTTATTTTTAATCAACATAAAGAAATTGTGTTTATTTACGGGTCACAGTGTGACATTTCAACACATACATACCATGAATAGTGATCAGATTATAACAATGGGCATCTGTGCCATTTCTTTGAGTTGGGAACACTTGAAATCCTATTAGCTATGAAAAATGTTTTAAAAGATGTTGCACATAAGGAATTCTATAACATATAACTCCTTGAAAGAGACTTGCTTTTACTAAGCACTTCCCTGAGAGACATCTAGGTTGTACCATGTCCCAATAACCCACCTGCTTGCCCCTTATTAAAGTTATTTTAATTATGTACATATGTGTGTGGGAATGTGCATGTATGAGTCTAGGTGCTGGGAAGAGGGTACTGGATCCCCTGGGGCTGGAGTTATAAGTAGTTATGAGCCACCCAACACTGGCACTGGGAGCCAAGCTCAGGTCCCCTGAACAGCTGAGCCATCTCTCCAGTATCCCCACCCCCAATTCTGCCTTCACTGAATAGTACAAGTTGGCTGGATGGACAAACCAGTTTGTTTTCAATATTTACCTCACAGGGGAAAAAAAAACATTAGAACATGCTTTCTGTTCCTGTACACTACAAGTGTTGCTATGAATGCTCATAAGCAGGCTTACATGTAAAGGTAAGCTTCCACTTCTACTGGACACACATAGATGCAACTGCAGGTTTGAATATATCTTCCCTTTGGTATGTGCCCTTGAAGCCCCTATTGCCAGTTTCTAAATGTGAGTGCAATAGTAGGTATATCAGCATGGCTAAACTTCTCTTTCCCCAATGGCTAATGCTGAACATCGCGGGATGGGCTTGCCATCGGCATCTTCTCGCTGCTGAAAGATCTGCTCTCAGCTTTTGACATGTTGTAGTTGGTGTGCACACTGTTTAGCTTTCAAGCTTTGAGGACTATATATTTTTAGTAAAAGACCTCGGTCAGACGTGAGGCTGATCAGAGTGTGGCTTGCCTGCTGAAGTATGAGCTGTACTGTTCGGTAGCTTGCTCTTCCATTCACTGCCTTCTAAGGCTTTTCATCAGTCCAGCTTGGTTTCTGTGCCTGCTATCCTCACGGTCATACAAACTCTTCACTCTTCCCAAGGTTATAGAGGTTATCTCCTATAAGTTTCGTTTTTCACATTTAAATCCATGATCCACTGACAAGGCCTCCCTATGTAGCTCAGGCTAGCCTCAACCTCATGATCCTTCTGCTTCAGCTTCCCCAAGCGCCCTGCTCTTTGTACGTAGGATTGCTTTGGCATTTTGGGGTTTGTGGTGATTCCACAGGAATTTTAGATTTGTTTTTCTATTTCTGTTAAGAATGTAATCTGTTAGTTCTTTCTGCAAGATGACAATACATGATGACTCAGATGGAGGAATTATAAAGGAGTCAAATTTATTTTAACCAGAAGTAAAAAATTATGAATTCTTTATGCAAATAAATAAGCAACTCAGCAGAGAAATAGAGAATATAAAAATGAACCAAATGGAAACCACAGAACTGAAAACTAAAATAACCAGAATAAGAGTCAAGTAAAGCTCCCCATGGGAAACCTGCTAGCATAACACTAGAGACTTTTTCACTTAACATGTCCTTTCTCTCCAGCTCCTTTCAAGACTTTAATTTTCCAAGTTAGATTTGGATGTGGCTTGGTGTGGATTTGACTTCTCCTTGGGGTTTACTTACAGTGTCCTGAGGCTCTTGACTCTTAGTCTAGCACTAAGTTTGTAGAATTTTCAAGCACTATTTATTCAAACAGTTTCTTCTCCATGTGATTTGCTTTCTTCTGATTCACTAATCCCTTCTGGTGTTGTCTCCAATGCACTACAGACTGTCAGTGAGTTTTTATTCTGGTTATTTTAGTTTTCGGTACCGTGGGGGTGTAGGTCTGCTGACTCTGGTGTTTGGGTGTGGAGGGGCAGGAGGGGCTGCAGCATCCACTCTTACCAGATTGTTTCTCCTTGTTACTATTAGATAGAATTAACTTAGCTCCACATTGGTTTTGTTACCAGCACTCAGAAAAAGTAGGGCACCAACCTGTGTCGTCTCCTACTTACCTACCTCACTGGGGCTGTGTGAGGGTGGAAAGTCCGCTTCCTGCTCCACTTTTGTGGACAGTGCCTCAACATGGGAACAGCGTACAGATTTGCTCTCTCGCTCTGTATGTGGGGTGAGAGTGCTCCCTACTCAGCCCAGCCTCACTGGCGATGTGGGGAGGGACCAGCAGCTTTTCCTTTAGTGTCTAGCTGAGGTATGGGTCTGTAAAGCTGTCCTTTCCCCTTGGGGTTGTGCATACTGTGGGTGGTATGGACTTCTCCAGCATCCCGAGGATGATGTAGGAGAGGAAGAAAGGCAATCTGGGAACACATGGCTGTGCTGCTTCTCAACTGAGTCTCAGAGTCTCTGACCAGGCTGTAGCCTTCCATCCTCCAGTCTTTTAGGGTTTCTGAGAATGTGTCTTAGGGGATTTTAGTCCTAACAAGGAGGAACAGGAAGGGTTAGGGCAGGTTTTTATAGTAAGGTGCTGATTATTTGACTAAAGAAGTTTTAAAAAGAGGATCATTTTCTTTTCTACTTTTGTTTAGGTATATTGTGCTCGTCGTACTGCTAAAGAAAGTGATGCACTATGTGTGGATCCCATGTGTGGATCTTCTGGCACTGGCTGTACCAAAAGTGTCTAGAGAAGCTTCTTGAAAAATGCAGTCCTGATAGTGAGTCTCTGTCTCTGGGGGAAACAGCATAGTCTGGTGTCCAAGCCCTAGAGGTCCTGATGCAGGAGACTGGGGCAAAGGGCAAGGTTCAGACCCATCTTTTTAATCAGTTTTCCAGGTGATGCTGATGCAGACCCAGGCATGGGATCTATTGCTTAGACTGTAACACTCCACAGATGGCCATTTGCAGGGCTTACAGTTACTATATGTGACGTCTATACCAAGAAATCCACTTACTACTATGGCATGTCTCACTCATCTCTGTATCCTAGCTATTCAGTAACTATTTCTGATTAGGTAAAGAAAGGATACGCAATTCAGACTTTTCAGTGAAATAATATCAGCAGTAGAGGATAAGACAATCTAAAGAAAACTAAATGTGTCAGATGCCAGCCAGAGCACAGCCTCACACTAGGGGTGTCTGTGGACTGCTTAAATTGATCTGCAACAATTGAGTACAAAAATCCAAAGTCAAAGTTTAGAAACTTTTAAAGGGTCCACTAGGATCCTGTTGAATAAAAAATTAGGACTTATTTTAGTAATTATTTATAATTGTAGAAAATACATAAAATGTAAAAGTTATGACTTTTTCTTTTTTTATGGTAGGGAATATATTGGTTGGTGAAAGGATTCACCCTTTAGAGCAGACCAAAGGAAACAGGTTTATTTAGTACTGCAAAGAGAGCAGCAGACGGGGCAGAAACAATGAGCTGCCCACCACATCCACTGTCCTTAAGTATACAACTCTATGGTACTGAGCACAGCCACACTGCTGTGACCATCACCACTACTCACCCTCAGAACTGCTTACTCTTCTGTAACTCAAACTCTGGGCCTACCAAACAATAACTGCTTTCTCCTCTAGCTCCTGTAAGTACCACTGGGCCCACATACATATGCAAATACATATACACACATACATACACTTATACATACATACATATACACATACATATGCATATCCATACATACATACACACTTATATATACACACAGACATGTACATATACATACATATATACACACTTATATACACACATACATACATACTTTGGGGGCAATGTTGGGGGTTGAACTGAGGGCCTTGCACATGCTAGACAACTACTCTATCGTGGCCCACACCTCCAGCTTCTATGTATTTAAAAAATTCACTCTTCAAGTCACCTTTTATTTCATTTTCTAAGTGTTTAGGAGACAGACAACTGATCCTTCACCACAAATAACGTGAAAGCTGTGTTATACAACTATCCTGGTTAGTCCATCCCTAGGCTGTGGAAGCCTGAGCTCCTCTGCCTGACTTCCTTCAATGATGGGTTGTGACCTGGAAGTGTAAGCCATGTAAACCTTTCCTGCTCCAACACTTTTGGTTGTGGTGTTTGCGACGGCAATGGAATTAAACCAGGATAACTACACAGACTGCTTACCACCTGGCCTGTGGGCAGGGCATAGGTGTTGCCTCGGATGACCCTTCTGTCATACATTATGTTTCCGTAACTCAAAGGTTCGTCAGGTCTGAAAAAACAGAAAATCCTAAGTGAATAGTATAGTATTTGAATCCATTAAGTATAGAAGTAACCGTCTTATTCAATAAGAAACACAAAACCAATGCAAAGAAGAAAGCCAAGAGGTCAGAGCTAAGAGCTAAAAACCTTACCCTTCCTCTTGCGGTGTTCCTACCTCTCCGAAAGAGACCTACTTCCTGTGTGTCTGTCTTTATATTGACTTTCTGTTCTGCCTTCTCATTGGTTGTAAACCCAACCACATGACTGCCTTGTCACTGCCTGTCTGTACAGACCTCCAGGTCTTCTATGGTTGGTATTGAGATTAAAGGCGTGTGTCTCCATGCTGGCTGTATCCTTGACCACACAGAGATCTTCCTAGCTCTGTCTACCAAGTTCTGGGATTAAAGGCGTGCACCACCACCGCCCAGCTTTCGCTATGGCTTGCTAATAGCTTTGACCCCCAGGCAACTTTATTTATTAACATACAAATAAAATCACATTTCAGTACAAATAAAATATCACCATAATTAAGTGAACCTATTTCAACAGAATTTAGATTAAAGATGTTTTACAAGGGCTGGAGAGATGGCTTGGCAGTTAAGAGCACTTGCCTTTCCAGAGGACCTGGGTTTGGTTCCCAGCACCCATATGGTATCTGACAATCACCTATAATTCCAGTTTCATGGGACCCTTTGTCTCTGGTAACACACACACATACACATAAACACTCATACATATAAAATAAAAATATCTGAAATGGTATAAAAGAAAGTGTAGTATAGTCCATAAAATATGGAGACAGATAGTTATCATTTAATAGTTACTATATGGCTGGACCTTAAAAATTTTATTTATTACTAAAAATTTTTATTTATATAAAATTTTATATATATTTATATATATATTTATTTTATAGTTTCATGTTGGGAACTATTAATCCTACTGAATAGAAGAAAAACGGAAAGGAATCTGCCCAGATTCCCCTCTTAGTAAGACACAGAGCTGGGCTCAGGCATAAAAACTTAAGACTGTTCAGCAAATATGAAAAGGGCCCATGAATCAGAGTCTGTCCTAAGAGACTAAAATAAGCCCCATTCAGGGATTGAAAACATACATTTAATAAAAGAATAAAGTTTTAAAAGAAAGTCAAACTTCGCATTGTTCTTTAAACCTAAAGGAACTGTCAAAATGTTAACAAATTTTGAATGTCAGGAATTATAATGACAAGAGTTCAAACATAAAGGTGACCCCTGTGGAGTCCTTCAGTGCATTTCTGTTTATAGCGGTGAGGACCACCCTCAGCCTACATCCATGACAGGCTCTTAGAAGTGAGCGAGTAGGCGGAGCCGCTGACACAGACTGAAGTCTCCTGAACACACAGGCATGGTTTCTGTCCACGTTACTTGGTCTCAGCTTGTGCCAGATCTAACACCAATTGCTAAATGGTCTTATTAATAATAAAAAAAAAAAAAACCAGAGCCAGATATTGGGGTGAAAGCTGAAAGACCAGAGAAACAGAACAAGGCAGCCGCGTTCTTACCTCTACGAAATACTCAGCCTCAAGAGAGAGACTTCCTGTTTACTCACGCCTTATATACCTTTCTGTGCCCTGCCATCTTCCTTCCTTCCTAGTGCTGGAATTAAAGGTGTGTGCCACCACTTCTGGCTCTGTTCCCAGTGTGGCCTTGAACTCACAGAGATCCGGATGGATCTCTGCCTCCCAAATGCTAGGATTAAAGGTGTGTGCTACCACTGCCTGACCTCTGTTTTTAATATAGTGGCTGGTTTTGTCCTCTGATCCCCAGGCAAGCTTTACTGGGGTACACAATATATCACTACAACCAGCTCCTGTGTGGGAGCACTCTCTTTTCTAGCCCCGTGTGCTACTTTCAGAGTTGTTTCCCGGCTACTTATCTGTGGTGATATTTTGTTTGTGCTCTAACAAATAAAGCTTGCCTGAAGATCAGAGGGTGGAGCTGACCTTCATTAGTTAACCATAGAGGTCTGGAGGTCTGTACAGACAGGAAGTGATATGGCTGGGTGGAGAGAGGAATGTGAGGTGGGTGGAGACAGCAGTTCACCCTCTTTGGGTCTGAGGAGTTGTGGAGTTAAGAGGTGAGATTGGTTGCTCCTTTACTTCTCTGATCTTTCAGCATTTACCCCGATATCTGACTCTGGGTTTTTATTATTAAGATCAATTAGAATTCACACTACATCTGGTATCCAACTTCGGTGCATGAATTCACGAAAAAGCCGCTTGCCTGTGGCTTTACAGCCACCAGCACACGCAGGAGCTCCCTCCAAAGTCATACCCTTGCCAGCTAGGTTTCCTTTCTTTTTGCTAAACCTCTGAGCAAGTTTGGGATTTTTTTTGTTGTTGCAACCTCTCTGCAACAAACTCCACAGGCATGTGGACTCAATATATGGCTGGAGTTAGCCCCTCACCACCAGCCAGCTCTGCTTTTAGGCATTTCCCGCCACACATGTTTCTTCTCCACAACCCCGTGTGCGTTTTTCAGACAGTGGAGTCCCTCTCCCAGTGGATTGTGGGTTTTCACTGGACCCCCTCCTCAGGCTGTTGCCACATTAGGAACTGCCTTGACACTCTCTCCGGCTTCTACTCTTCTACGCAGCAGCAGCAGTCAGCCTCACATTTCACCATCATCTGAATCGTCATCATGGGCAGATTTGGTGAGACAACTGGGAATTCTTAAAGGGAGAAATTAGTTAAAAGAGAGTTTTTTCCCCACATTAAAAAATGGGAAATGCTATTACAATGGAGGAAGTTAGGTCTCTGTATGATAATATGCTGGACGGTTTGAAAATTGAACAACTAAATGAGAGGATAATTAATGGGATTTATGTAATGTCAATTATAAACATTATTGGTTTTATTATTTTTGTTTTATCACTAAAAAAGTGGTTAATTTGAGTGCTAAGATACAAGTTTTAGAAAAAGTTATTAAAATAGATCATAGAGATATTCAGACCCAGTCAGAGGAATTTAAAGGAGAACCAATCTCAGTGTTTCGTTATAAGGTTAGAGAGGAATAGCCCATGGTTTTCAAACAGCCAACTTTAATTTATCTAGTAACCTTACAGGAATCGCCAAATGATAGATATCCCCAAGGTGTGTAAGAGCTGAACGGACTCCTGTGCAAATGTTAGATTTAAGGAGATTCAAGGAAACAATAGTCTCATATGGCATGCATTCACTTTTTGTGAAGCAGATGTTAAACTCATGATCAACTTGTAATAGAATTATTCCTTAAGACTGGAGAGATTTGATTACAGCAGTCTTGGAGACTGGTCCTCAATTACACTGGGGAGATGAGGCTAAGACCATTGAACAATGAAGTAGGGCTAGAGGTATGAAAATATCCCAAGTCCAACTTCTTGGAGAGGGAGATTATGCTAATGTACAAAGGCAATCTCTATATGATGACTACATCCTGGCTTTATGCCACAAAGCAGCCTTAAGTGCTTGGGATAGAACTGAAGAAGTAGGAAAGAAAACTGAGTCATGTACTAAAGTTATACAAGGCCCAAAAGAAACCTTCACTAAATCTTACAAAGATTGACTATAGTAGTAAATAAAATGATACCAAATTCAGAAGCTAGACAAATAATAATTGAATCTCTGGCTTTTATGCTAATGTACAAAGGCAATCTCTATATGATGACTACATCCTGGCTTTATGCCACAAAGCAGCCTTAAGTGCTTGGGATAGAACTGAAGAAGTAGGAAAGAAAACTGAGTCATGTACTAAAGTTATACAAGGCCCAAAAGAAACCTTCACTAAATCTTACAAAGATTGACTATAGTAGTAAATAAAATGATACCAAATTCAGAAGCTAGACAAATAATAATTGAATCTCTGGCTTTTGAAAATGGTAATGCACAACCAAAAGGGTAATTAGGCCATTAAAGGCAAGATCAGCACCCTTGGAGAATGAATCTGAGATATAGCCAATATTGAATCTCATAACCATGATGATGCTTGGATAGGAGAGGTGATTTCCAGAGGTTTGAAGAAAAATCAAAATGTCAAGTGCTTCAGTTGTGGTAAACAAGGTCAACCTAAAAAGGGATTGTAAACAGGGTGTTCCTAGAAACAATATTTTTCCTAAGAATAATCCCAACAGAATGCTTCTCCCTTCTGGAGTATGCAGAGGTATGGCAAAGGCAGATATTGGACTAGCGAATATAGATCAACAAGGGACAGACAAGGTAATCCGTTGCCATTGGGAAATGCCTTGAGGGGCCTCTCTCAGGCCCCCATGTCAAATTCAGTTCAGTTATTTCCTGTCATTGTGGAGGAAACTCCTTTCCAGAGCAATTAAAGAACCTAATGCCTATTGTAAAATACCATACTGCTCTAGATGATAGAATAGCTTTAGAAAATAAAACAAAAATTTCAGGAGAAACCATAAATCAAAATTGATAAAGATTAGATTTGAACAAGAGAGACCTCTTGATTAGAAGAGATGATAATTCATTAAACAGTGTGACCGCTCAATCTAAACTAACTTATAAAACTAACAAATGCTTTTTATTTGATCAGATACAACTTGCCAAAAGGGAAACTCCCTGAAGTTAGGGTTGGGGCAGGGTTTTATTTTTGTCTTTCAGGAGAATGAAGGCATCCAGTGAAGGAATCTGAAGACCACTGGACAAATGAGACATAAAGAAAAAGGACAAATCATCCCCCCCAAAAAAAATGTTCCAAGAAAAGGAGTAAATTGGCCTACTGGTATATCACATCTCCAACAGGACAAAATTTCACAAATCTTCCCAAATGTTTGTTTCTGCTGTTCTCTACAGACATATGAAGCAAATAGTCTTTTTGTAGTCCCAGTTCAACTGAAAATTAAAGCTGGCTTTGGAGCTGCAAGCTTCTTAAAGGAAAACCCAAAATCTCTGTCTCATGTCAGAAGAGCCACCTGATATGGGACATAAGAAAAACCAAAATTAGGGACTATTCGATTGTCACTAATCTCATAATTCTT